ACATTTGGGCGGCATTATGCTAATATTTCCACATAGTGAGGTAGATATGTGGGGGCGTGTTAGAACGAGCCGTTTTAGGGGGGCGTGGCAAGAGTCTTAACTTTGATAAAGAATATCTCTTTGGTTTTGAGACTTTAGTCTTTGCAACTTCAGGGATCTTATCTATGCACAATCAGCTTGTAACACTCCAAAGAGAAAGGAAAACTTGAAATCGCATCATATGACCCCTTTAATATTACTCTAACAAAAAATATTAATCATGTTAAATAGGTATTCTGCAGGTCTTAAAAGGTCTAAATTGCTCTTCTACAAGATAAGGCCTTGAAAGGTCCTGAATCTGAGCAAAAAGCCTTAAATTGTTAAAGTCATGGCATTTAATGTTGCATGGACTTTGAAGAAAAAAACATGAATATCTTTCTCAGTATTTTTTTTGTTTTTCAATACAAATATCTAAGCATTCTTAAATCAAGATGCATTTACTTGAGATGCAGAAGATATTAAGTCTTCTAAGTTTTCTGAGACATTGAATAAAATTAATTGAACTTTTGTTTAAAACAAGAATAAATGTCTTTTTGCTTCTCAAGTAAAATCTTGGTTCAAGAATCTTTAGACATTTGCACTGGAAAACAAGAAACAAATACGGTTGAAGATGATCATTTATTTGCAGTGTGATTAGAAGGTACAGTAAAAGTTATTTCCATATTCTAGTGGTTGGGGCAGAGCTGTTTTTTAGCACATTTTTTGTCAAATGAATTAAAAAATAATGGAGATGTGTAGTTAGTTCTATTTTCAAGCATTGTTAATACAAGACATTTATGTTTAGAGAACATTGACATGTTCCATTCAATTTAATAATTTCTTTACATAGTCGTAAACCTGCAGAAAATATTTATTTTTAAAACATTTTTTGTTTTTACGGGTAAAAAAGGACCCAGAAATGTCCTTTTTTGCGAGTTTCACAAATGTAATTTCTTGCATTTACAAGCAGTGTTGTCTCTGTCTTGCAAAATGTGACTTTAACCACTAGGGGGCACTGCTGCATTTGGTTTGAATTACCACTCTCGTATGTTTGATTCTTATATATGTATGTATGTATAATTCTTATTAATATAAATATAATACTTGTGTTAATCCTGATGTCTGTTCATTTCTGCAGGTCATTAGCAATGACAGTAATGCGGAAAAACTCTGCGCTACTTATGAGCCACAAGTGTGTTTATCTAAAGAGGCCTTCCTTCAGCTCCTGAATAACAGCTTTGAGTTCACGGAAGTGTGGGAGCTGCCCATTTGGGTCAAAATGAATCCCATGAAAGGTGAGGGGTCACTTCATGTTTTAACTTCGGTCCAGGAGGGCCACTGTCCTGCAGAGTTTATCTCCAACCTTAATCAAACACACCTGCCTGTAGCTTTCTAGTCAAGACATTGATTAGCTTGTTCAGGTGTGTTTGATTAGGGTTGGAGCTAAACTCTGCAGGACAGTGGCTCTCTAGGACCGAAGTTGCCCGGCCCTGTTGTAGATCATAAGATTGTAATCCTGTCCATAGTCTCACATGATGAATGTTGTGGTTGTTCTCAGGCAGCAGTCAGAGTAAGACGGCGTACATCGATCCTCCTCTGCTGAAGACAGAGATGAGCTGGAGAGAGAGGAGTCTGCTGTTTCATGAAGAGAGCGTGAAGCTGGCATTCAAGAAGACTGTATCACGTCCTGTGTTTTTCCTCACTTCAGAAGAGCTCTCTGTTCAAATGGAGCCTCCTCCTGAGGTAAGATGTTTATCACGGTAAGAAGACCTAACAACAGACAAATATATTGTAGATTCATTATTAATAAATTACTAATTAATTATTGTAATTATTGGCTCCTTTTTTCCCCTTTTTTTAATAAAATCACTTTCATAAAGAACTTATTATTTTTTACTTGCAAGTAGTTTTAGATTTAAAAAACACATGCAAGCTCAAAACCAGAAATTGTTTCTGCCAAATTGGATAGTAACTAGTTAAAATATATAATATATTTAATAATTAGTATAGCAATAAGAACTATTATACTATATTATATAATGTTATATATATAATTAATATAGCAATAATAACTATGATACTACATTATATAATGTTATATTACAAATGGTTATATATATGTGTGTATATATATATATATTAGTATATTTGAGTCCTTAGCCATCTTCAAGAAACAACTAAAAACACATCTGTTCCATCTTTATTTGACCCTCTAACTCTAGCACTTTCTATTCTATTTTAATTCTACTTTATCTATTTATCTTCTTTTTATAAAAAAAAACACTAGCTTTCTATTGTTTCTATTCTATCTACTTGTTTTTCTTTGTGTGTGTGTGTATATATGTATACACACTATTGTAATTTGCACTTGCATATCATTGCTCTTTTGTTAGTTTTGATTGCTTCTATTGTCCTCATTTGTAAGTCGCTTTGGATAAAAGCGTCTGCGAAATGTAAATAATCTATAATATATAATATATTATATATATATATATACAATGTGATTATAATTCATTACAAAATTCTAATAATATAGTATTACTTTATATATCTGTTTATTATTGTATTAAACAGAAATGCTCAAAAGATTGGAATAAATTATTTTTTTAATGTGCATATTAGAATGATTTCTGAAGGATCATGTGACACTAAAGACTGGAGTAATGCTGAAAATTCAACTTGAATCACAGGAATAAATTATATTTTAAAATAGAAGACTGTTCTTTTAAATTGTAATAATATTTTACTATATTACTATTTTCATTTTTGATCAGGTAAATGCAGGCATGGTGAGCATAAGAGACTTTTAAAAATCCCTTAATTATTCCAAATGTTTGACCGGTAGTGTGTATATATAAAGAGATGCATAAATAAATGTGTGAATTAAAATAAAATGTAAACATTATTATGTGTGTGTTTATTACATTTGAGATTATATTGTACGACAATTTTATATTAGATATCTGCTAAATAAATAAATATAAAGTAAACCTAAATAACTCTTGAGTTGGAAAAAAACATTTCAAATATAAACATTGTAAATAATATTTACTCTGCCCAGGACAAGATGTCTAGGAGTGTGTTTGCATTTGATGATGCTGGTATGGATTTTGGGACTGATCTAACAGACCTGGAGTCATTTGGGGAGTCGTACAAGCCCAGTAAGAAAGTGAAGGAACAGAGTGAACCAAAAACAGCTTCTACAAATCCAACCGCATCTCCGTCTCAATTTACCCCAAGCCCCAAGAACCCGACAGACTCTTTAGGTACAACAAAGCACACCTCAACATCTCAAGACGCTCCCACAGAACACCTTGAGTTGACCGTGGCTAAGGTCCAAGGGGAGACCGACTCTTTGGCTGATGGAGGAAACGGTACGCTGAATGAAAGTGCCATTTCAGAGAAGGAAAGTGTGATTGAAGATTCAAAAGAGAAGATAGAAACATCTTCTGCTCAGTGTCCTCCCACCAAGCGGCCCAGACATATGATGGAAGACAAGACGGACCAGGATTTGGATTCTGATGAAGAACGACTAGTTATAGATGACATTCTCTCCCCACAGAGACCTCAGACCCAGGTGACACCAGCAGAGGTGTCCTCCCCCCAAGCACCCGACCCAGTCACGCTAGGACCCACAATCCCTCTGGGCAAAGGAACAAAGAAAGGCATCAAAAGACCCAGAATATCCGGCGAGTGCGATCAGCTCGGACAGATTTTGCGGATGCAGGACGCCATGCTGAAATCCACTCCCAGCAAGAACCAGGAGCCTGTGAAGCCACATGTCCCAGAAGACAAACCTCCAGAAGCTAAAACCCATTCACTGGTCAAGCAGTGTGTGACCTCATATCTGGAGTCCAGAGAGGGACAGGGAGAGGACGCCACACTGCCTGCTGACGTTCCTGTGCTGCTAGCCACTCAAAGAAAACGTTAGTGCTCAAAACACCCTCTCAGAGGCAAAGGTTACGTTTAGTGTGGCCACAGTCATGCTCAGGTTATATTTTTGTGAAGTTATGCAAATGTACTTTTAAATATGGCCCATATCAGATACTCATTGAACAGGTGATGCTCTAAAACCTAGCCATATCCATAAACTTCTAGAAATGACTAAATGAAGGCAATGGAAATACACCTGATGTGTGAGGAAGTCCATTTTACTATATTGTAAGTCTATCAAAATAAATGTAAATTCTTTAAATATGTTTTAATAATTATTTACATTATTATTTACATTTTAGGTTTAAATATTATTTAAAATATTCAAATAATACTTAAATGTATTTAATAATTAAAAATACATTTATTTTTTCAGTAACTGTAACACAAGTCTTTGTATGATCATATTTAATTATCATTGAAGCACAAAAAGTGTCACCAATATTAATGAGATGCCCTTCTCCCAAAAAACGAAAAGGAAAAAAATCTATTTATGATGAACATTAAGTCTAAGTTATGTTTGTGGCAATTTATTATTTTATATATATATATATTTGCGCATTTGCAGTGCGCTCTGCCTGATCACTGCATGATTCAGTCTATTAAAATACATTCAGAGTGATTACAAATACAGGACATGGGAGCAGAACATTTTTATATTTATACCACTTCATATAGTTAATCAATTTCACACGGAAGAGTGCCTTTTTTCTCCAAACATTACCATATACAAATGTAATATTGATTTTTTACAACAGTTCAATAAACTAGAAGTTTTATTAAGAGACTTACGCTTTAGACACCATATTGCCTGTTTTGCACTATTTCGCCAACAAAAATAATTCCAAACAAAGCCACAGCACTGTTTGGCATCTCTGAGCAACATGACGGTGTTTCGTTCCTAAATGAATCAACTGTTTAAATGATTCGGTTCAGTCGTAATGACTCACTTATTAACAGTGACTTACTGCCACCTACTGGCGCTTTTAATTTAACATTTGAAGTAGCTTCATTTCTTCAGGTGCAGCTTATGTCTGGATTGCAAAGATGAATTTTGTTGATACTGATTTCATTTGCTTGGTAACAGCCCAAATGCCTTTTTATTATTATTCACTGATTAAATGTAAGAATTTGACTCAAAAGATAATGCACACTTATAGAAAAAAATGACTTTATGAAGGTAAAATTCCCATAAAAGGTAAAAATCAATTTAAACTTATTGGAAAAGATAAATTTCTATCTGACCACCACACAGAATATGGAGAATTTGAAAAACTTGAGTCAGCTGTCCACGAATGTCCTTAAGATAGCAGCATAATAACACACTCAATCAGTTAAATGAATGACTCAATGACTCACTCATTAAGTGACTTGCCGTCACTTACTGATAGTTCAGTTGAGAAGTTTGTTGAAAAGTATGCATTTCCCCCCTCATCATTTCTCATTTGTCTATTCATAAATGCATTCAAAACATTAATCTCATAACATTATTTATCGCAGTTGTAATTATTGTTATTTTCAGTGTAAATCATTTAATCTGACTGGTAGCAACCCTATAGTGTATATTGAATTTATTGATAAATTGTAATAATTTGGTTTAAAATAGGCCTTTGTAAAGGTAAATATGCAGATTTAAGTATGTAAAAGCTGATAGAACACTGATGAAAATATTGCTTCAGAATAAATTGTTTACTCCACCAAAAATCTTAGTGATGCAGTTATTTTGCAAAGATATTTTATATGGAATATTGTCTGCTGACATAAAGTTTACAGTATATCGTAGTTATAAATAGCATTTATTACAGCAATGATATGTTTTTCTTTTTAATTTATACACATTAAATATTACATATATGTATGTAATAAAATTTGTATTTCTATTACAGGTTTAGATCTTAAATTTCATATAAGGTGGTATTAAAAAGGTCTTAAAAAGTCTTAAATTTAACTTGTTCATGTCTGTAGAAACCCTGTATTCAGAAATCTTTATCCATCTATTGCAGGTCTTCTAAAGGAGGATCTTCAGGTCAGTGCTGAGGATGAGATGGACTACGATCCTCCAGCAGAGGGCAGCGTTCTGTACAAACTCTACAGCCTGCTGGATGTTCTACTCATGGTGCGCAGCAGTGTGGACCTCGCTCACCCCAGACACGACACAGACACCTTCAGGGTGAGCTGGACACATGCTAATACACAAACACAATGCTCCTTTTGTGAAAATGTTGATTAATTTGGCCCTAGTTGAAGGATACGCCCCAAAAGTCAAGGTTGAGAGATTCCAGACAACATCAGACTCGTCAGTTCTTGTGTAAACAATCACAATGCATCTTATTATAATTATTAGTTATCATCGTCTGTGATTTTTAGCAGCCCTTTATTGGATTTGAGTCAGTATGTCAATATGCCAAGCATTAATCTTTATATTTTAACCAGGGTTGAGTAATGTTCACCACTCCCTTTCTTTAAACAGTCTGCTTTCCTGTGCGGTGCCGTAGAGTTGAGTTTTAAATCTCATCAATGTATTAACCGATTCTTTCCAGTCAATGGTTCTCAACTTTCTGCCCTGAAAAAAGCAGCACAGGATTTACTCTTCTGCATCTCTATAGAAAACAGTGACTCATAACTGCCGTTTGCGTGGGTAATCATTGAATCTGCTCTCATCCAGGCTGTTCCGGTGCATGTTTTACCCAAGCTGGAGTATCAGCTGTGCTACGGAGCCGAGAATCTGACCCACACAGAGGTTTGTCAGCTGTGGGCCGAGAAACTTCTGCACTCCAGCACCGTGTCCTTCATAAGTAAGAGACCTGATGAAAAATGTTTGCTTTCTCTTTAGCTATCATGGACGGTTATGCATTTTGATAGTGAATCTGCTGTAATTCTGTTATGAATCTGTTTGTTCAAATCAGATTCACCTGACCTAAAGAAAATAAGTAATTTGAGAGTATGTAAAAAAGATAATATTCACCTGTAGATAATAAAATATGTAGTATTACAGCGTTAAAAAAGCAATGTGCTTTTAATAAGAATCAGTTCAGTTCATGAATTCATAAATAATTGAACTGATTTAATAATTTGTTTGCATTACCAAATCATATTAAACATTTTTGCATCAAGCTTTAAAATGTTGTAGTAAAAATATATGTAGATAAAAAATTTATGAATCAATTCCTAACTGCTTCAGCGATTCATTTGCATTATCAAATTAAAGCATTTTTCATGCTTTGTTATATTGGTATAATTTGTAGAGCCCGACCGATGTATCGTTTAGCCGATATTATCGGCCAATATGAGCCTGGCGCCGATATATCGGTATCGGCGAATATGCCACCGATATGATAGTTTTTTTACAGAACATATAACGCAGATTAAATGCTTCTGAATGGTGTAATTACTTAGTTTGTCCAGCAGAGCGCGCTCCATTCTTTGTTACTGGCGACCCCGGTCAGTGTAGTGTAGAGATACGCGGATGGGCTCAAACTTCACCCGAGTCTGCTGCTTCAAATTATCCGCCCGCCACCCACCCATACCAATATTTGATCGTCACATTACAATGATTCTAATTCTTAGTTTTGCATGATGATATGATGAATGGATGGTTCATTTTATTCAGTGGCATTAGAGACTAGAGCTGATCTGCGCAGTATGGCACGCGTCTGTGGCACATTAAAGCCTGTATTACGGCCACTGGAGCTGATAGCGGCCACTCAATGCTGGTGTTTACCGGCCGCGCCGCAGCCCAGAACTCATGCTTATCACATCGGTCACATCACATCGTGCGGTGCGACAAAATACAATAGAATTATATATATATATATTTTGTCGCGCCGTACTGCTCGTGTCCGGTCTAGAATAGAACCCATAAATAAAAAACAGCTTAGTACATATATAGACTGTGTCTGTGAATACTAAACTGCAAAAAGACGATATGAATATGAATGTTCTGCATGTTCATTGGATTACCAGAAAATACACAACACAGTTTGTGAAAAAATATTATTCATTATTATTATTTATCCATTTTAGATGTTTACATTTGGAAAAGCTGTGCTTCCTGCATAAACCTGCCACTGTTGGTTTGGCAGTAGCTTGCTTGCCCTACACAGTTACCTTGTTTAATTTCTGAATTCAAGTTATATATATTTTGTTCTATTTGTGTTATTTAAGTTATTTTATAATAAGTGAAGTGAAGTTTACTGTTAAGTGCACTGATGACTCATTTTGAATAATAAAGTTTATTGTTAAATACCCTGCCTCCACTACATAGGCTTATGTTTGTCACATCATTATAAGTGTTTGATCACCACATTTGAGTTATCATTGCAAAAAATGTTTATGTATATAAATTCTGTTTATGTAGGCTATATACTGTATTCTATATACAGACCGTACGAGTCAAAAGTTTGGACACACTTCCCATTCGTGTGTCCAAACTTTTGACTATACTGTACTATAATATAGCCTACACATAAAGAATATCGGCCGATATATCGGTATCAGTCTTTTTTTACTCCCTAATATCGGCATCGGCCCCCAAAAAACCCATATCTGTCGGGCTCTAATAATTTGTATAAATAATTTTATCTTAATTAAATACTACAATTTTACAGTATTTTACTTCTTGTTTGAATCTAGTTTTTGCTAAAAATGCATAGTTTTCACGTGACGTCACACCCTTACAGGAAATGTTGCGGCGGATGCTGTATATGGATTGCTAGTGGCCAAAACGTGCATTTTGTTCACATATCTTTGTTTTATTCTTTTGAGAGGTGATCTAAATAATTTATCGGATTGGAACAGATAGAAAATTGACGGACTTGTGCTCCAGTCGAGCCAGTCGCGTGACCTGATCAAAAGAAACACACACAAAAATAAGTTTTTTACGTTATTTAAATGAAAATAACTAATTTCCATCAAGTATAAAATAAAATTGTTGTTTTTTGAATGAATGAAGCAAATTCAAACAGAAGTATCCGTATTGTATCTGGAGTGGTAGTTTTAGTAACAAGGGGAGTCAGCACAAAAGTGAACTTTCCGCAAACTCCTAGCATGCCTCTCTCATGATGCATGACTCACTGTTTTGAGTCAGGGTTGCCGTAGCTACTAACGTTTCAACTTTGAAAGGGCTGCAGAAGAATGCAACCGCATGTGTGACACATCGGTGTGGGTGGAGGGCTACTTAGGTTTCACCATTATGAGAGAAAGAGGGAACGAGACTACTGAAGTTTGAAGAATTTGGTCAAAATAAAAGTGTTTTTATCCATTTTTTGGAAGCCTATATAACACTGACGATGATTTTAAGAATGCCCACAATGTGCCTGACAGCAGTCTGTGCCTGCAGGTGAAAAGAATCACAGAAGAATGCAGAATAGCCTCGCTCTCGGCGTATCGTTTGCTTTAGAGATTTTTCTAGGCTTATTAAAGGAATCTAGTCTTTTCTTTGGGTCAAGTCCAGGATCCAGACATGCTGATAACAGAACGGGCTGGTGTCTTCTGAGTCTGGACATATTTTCACAAGGTTTAAGAAGACTTGAGCTGAGCAGTTTACTGAGGCAGATTATTGCAAAAAGTCGTAAGACAATATAAGCACAAATTTATGTTTCATTTCAGAATTACTTCTGTTGTCTTTGAAATCTGGTTAATGTGTTCTGCTGAATGTACTGACAAGCAGTTATGGTAAACTAAAACATACTTTAATGCAGTGTTTCCCATACACAGATGAACAAGTATGGGTGTGGAGATAATTTTCTTCTGGCATGAACGCAGAATGATACAGCAGACCGACACAACGTGTGAACAATTATTGCAACATTCACAACATTTCTCACAGCCTGAGTTTGTATTGCAGGTCAATGCGTGTCCTTATGCACCACATGTTGACACGGATTTAGATGTTCTTCAGATTGTGAGCTGGTTTATGGCTCTGCAGACTTTAACTTCTTTAGCTATTGACTGTTAAATAGAAATGTAGCCTAACCAACACTACGGAAAATGAATGGAAGTATTATCAGATGAGATTAAAGACTTACAAAAAAATCAAATGAGCAGTCTACCTGACATTTGTGTGTGTAGGTCGCATCAATGCACACACATCAGAAGTGGCGCAGATGCAGACTTTGCCTGACGACTGGATTCAGAACGTTACCTGCGACTTCAAGTGAGTGAAGCTCTATATACTTTTTTTTTTTTTTACTTTTAAAGATATATTAACCTAAAACTGAAGTAATTGTATGTAAGCATTAGCATTTAGCTAAATCCGTTACCTTAAATGTTACAGTGTCTTTTAAACATTTATTTAAACCTCGGTTCTTTGTGTAGATTCTCACATGAGATGAAGACCTTAAAAATAGAAATAAGTGGTTTTCTAAAAAAGGAAGAGTCGCCCCTCATGGTAGTGGCCATGTTGAGATCACATGACGAGCTGATGCACTTTTTCCTCTGGAAACACACTTCCAGTTTTATAAACGAATCATGAGTGACACATACAGCAAACAGGATATTTCTCTAATGGCATTTCTACCTGAAAATGTTCTGCTTTTGAGTAATGCTGCATCTAAGACAACTGTTCTACTAGTAAAACAAACAAACAAAAAAGACTTTACACATTTAAATTCCATCACAGTTTGCACGTTTTTTGAGCATTTGTGAGCATGGTTCTTCTATTGTGCTCTCAGTTTAAGCTGCAATCATTAAACGAAGTGATTCTACAGTGTAATAATCTGCTCTCACCTTGCTGGCAGGTGTGTGTAAAATAATCATATCTGCTGCACAGTTGTTTAGCAGAGCATGAATCATAAATGCATGTGCTCTTGCCTAGGTTGTGGTATTATGAACTGACACAAACCCCACCAGAGAAAGACCTCTGCGCAGAACTGTTCTACTAGTAAAACAAACAAACAAAAAAGACTTTACACATTTAAATTCCATCACAGTTTGCACGTTTTTTGAGCATTTGTGAGCATGATTCTTCTATTGTGCTCTCAGTTTAAGCTGCAATCATTAAACGAAGTGATTCTACAGTGTAATAATCTGCTCTCACCTTGCTGGCAGGTGTGTGTAAAATAATCATATCTGCTGCACAGTTGTTTAGCAGAGCATGAATCTTAAATGCATGTGCTCTTGCCTAGGTTGTGATATTATGAACTGACACAAACCCCACCAGAGAAAGACCTCTGTGCATTAGCACCTTGGACTGGTTGTGGTCTGCATTGACCCTTCATTCAGCCTTTGGGTTAAAAAAGGTGTTTTGGTAGTTTTATACACTATAGACCTGTTTGTAGATCTGAAAACATGCGTTTGGCTAATTTCTCATTATTATTATTTTTCATTTTTATTGTTAATAATAATTACATTTTTACTACTTAATTATTACTGCACTGATTTTCATTGAATGGAAAATAAAACCCCAAGACACTTTTAAAAAAAAATGTGCTTTTATTTATTTTCTCTTAAATTTGATTCCACTCTTATTTTAGTAGTATAATACAGAATTTATCAATATTTTGAAAGTTTTATTTTACAATCTTTTACGGTTTTATTTTTTCAATTTTTAGTTTTAGTTTGAAGTTTTAGTCATTTAGTTTGTTAATATTTCTATTTAGCTCATTTTTATTTCAGTTTTAGGTTTGGTCGTTTTAGTACCTTAATTTCAACTTATTTCAGTTTGCTGCAAAGGGCTTTTATTAAAAAAATAAAATAAAATCAGTTTTCAATTTATTTTTTAGATGAAGTTTTAGTCATTTATATTTAGCTCATTTATTTTTATTTCAGTTTTAGGTTTAGTAATTGTAGTACTTCAATTTAATAGTAATTCCGTTTAATTTTAGTACTTTTTAGTTAGTTGCAAAGTGAAATTTAGTCATTTTCTTTTGTAATTGTTTTAAATTTTAAGGTATTCTAATATTTCTATTCATTTCAGTTATTGAAAACCATTTTTAATAGTTTTAGTCTTAATTAGCAATAACAACACTGGTTCCACTGATGAAAAAGAAAGTCATACAGGTTTGAAATGACATGATGGTTTGTAAATGATGACAGAATGTTCATTTTGTGATTTTTATTTTTATTTTTTTGAGTGATCGATCGCTTTAAGACTCTAAGATTAGTTTGAAGTCACCACTTAACAAATGGTTCACTACCACATAATTTCCCTTCTGAAACCACAGCCATGGTTTCCTACTTCATTTCATACTGTGAAGTTTAGAAACGCCCACAGTGAAGTTCTGCCCCTTCAGACTGTGAGGTGGACAGTGAGTGGGCGTGTCCTGGCAGGGTGGAGCTCAGTGGGCAGGGAGAAGAGACTCATGGACCGCCTCTGCTATTTAACATCCACACCCGTCACACAGTCCACAGCTGGAATTGTTCTGCACAGCATCTGAGATCTACTGATCACTAAAGGTAAGTTCAATCCCTTTTCCTTCAGCTGTTAAACTTCTGTATTAAGGCACTTTTTTTAAATAAATCAACATTTATAAAGAAAATAATGGTTCGCTTTTAACTTCATATGGTATGAAATACAATACATTGCATTAAGCTAAACTTCTTTTCTTTTAACATTAGCAATTTTGAATGCAAATCAATTTGTATCGATTTCCCAAGAAAGGTTGTTTTGAAACTCTTTAAAACTTTAACCACAAGATGGTGAGAAATGACTGCGCTGTCTCACATGCTCGATGGAATTTTCCCAGCATGCCCTCTCATGGGTGTGCCTGTTTGCTTAGGTTTTACCTGATGCTGGTTTTTAAAATTACTGTTTACTGGTCCTGTTTTTATCTAATTACCTAGCAACTGCAGCATATCATGCGTAACGTCTTGAATTTTTGCAAAATGCAGCATATTAGAGGGAAAACGAGCATGATTTACAAGCATTTGGGTGTTTTTGCATTCGTTATAGAATTGAAAGTGAATGATTTAATTAGAAGTGTACAGTAAAGTAGTAGTAAACTGACCAGAAATGACTTTTCTTGAATTATCGATTCCATCTCACAGTCTTATTTCCTTGACAGATGACAAAATAAGTTGTTTTTGCATTAGCTTTGTTTTAAGACTCAATATGGCAGGATGGGGCAATGGAGTGCTGCTCTCTGGGAACTGACATGCCCTCTGCAGTTCTGCATTACATAACTGTGAAGCATGTGACGGGACACTCAGAGTCTTCTCTGAAAGCTGAGACTACCCTCAGTGCACTTTAGGTTGCAGAAAACCGATGTAAATCAGATGGTTGTTCAATTTACAGCATGATCGATATCAGACACATAAAGCAAAATACAATGGAAATGAATGTGTGGCTGCTCTCCACAGGAAGTCCAGGATGGCGATGGTCTCAGAGTTCTTAGGGCAGCTCACTCTGCAACTGGGTGGAGTAAGTTTTCATAATAACTTTTTGATGGATAGATTTAAGTGTGCACCATCTATTTATGGAATGATCACATTGTTCCTCTCTGTAGGGGGAGCCCACATACCCTACTGTGGTGCCAGAGCCGAACTTTGATCCAGATAAGGATGCTGCTAGAATCGAGACGGCTATCAAAACTAAAGGTAAGAGAGCTTGATGACATGATGTGAGAGGCCAGATGTATTTGTGGCATCTTGTTCAAGCCTGTAATCTGGTGATGATTATGAATCATTAAACAAACAATAGACATTCATGTTTGGTTGTGGGCTTTGACCAGGCTCATGTCTTTGCGTGCTGTGCCTGTAATGAAGTAAAAATGGTCCAGAACGGGCAGCAGTGGTAGAAGTGAGTCATCATCCTGTCTGGAAGGGATTGAACTGCATGTGGAACATTTTCAGGCCAACGCCTGATTGCAGCAAGCAGCTTTCCTCCCCCTCAATGACTGCTTTATAAACCATCAGCTAACATTCTGAAGGAAAACTCTAAATGCATAAATGATGCTTTTTGGAAGATTCAAGCTCTTTCAACTTACCAAATTGTACAAAAATATCTAAAAAAAAGGCCGGATTTCTAAGCATTTATGATTTTTTTTTTTTGATGATGATGATGAAGAAAACAATTACTTTATCACCTTAGCAGAGCATGAATCTTAAATGCATGTGCTCTTGCCTAGGTTGTGATATTATGAACTGACACAAACCCCACCAGAGAAAGACCTCTGTGCATTAGCACCTTGGACTGGTTGTGGTCTGCATTGACCCTTCATTCAGCCTTTGGGTTAAAAAAGGTGTTTTGGTAGTTTTATACACTATAGACCTGTTTGTAGATCTGAAAACATGCGTTTGGCTAATTTCTCATTATTATTATTTTTCATTTTTATTGTTAATAATAATTACATTTTTACTACTTAATTATTACTGCACTGATTTTCATTGAATGGAAAATAAAACCCCAAGACACTTTTACAAGCTCTTTCAACTTACCAAATTGTACAAAAATATCTAAAAAAAAAGGCCGGATTTCTAAGCATTTATGATTTTTTTTTTTTGATGATGATGATGATGAAGAAAACAATTACTTTATCACCCTAGCAAAAATTTTTTTTTTAAGAAAATGTTTGTAAAGTGAATATATGAAGTGTAATATTTAGAGAGCCCTAAATTTGGATTTAGATTCGTTTTTTTACATTATCAGAAATATGTAAAATTATTTTGAAATATGGTATATGTAATGTTAAAAAAAATTGTCGTTTTAAATTTTTTGACATTGCGAGGGCAACATATTAAATATTTTATTAAATAAAACATTAGATACACTTATGTATTGTATATAGAAACATATATATATAATATATATGAAAAGAAATAAATCAAATTATATTTTTAATAGATATAAAATCTATGTGTGTGTGTGTATATATATATATATATATTAGATTCAAAACTACAAAAAAACCAATGTAAAATTATTATATGAATGTATATACGAAGAAATCAATCAAAAAGTACTGTTATTGAAATATATAAAAATATTTTGGACCTATAGATCATTAAATAAAAGTACGTACTTAATTCATGTTACATATCATGTTTAGTGAATGATATTTTAATATGGTTAAGTGACATTTTGATTTAAAAATAAATAAATATGACATCATTTGTTTTAGGGGTGGATGAGCAAACCATAATTGATGTCTTGACCAAACGTACTTATAACCAACGGCGAGAAATCGCTTTCGCATATGAAAGGAGAGCCAAGAAGGTCAGTAAATATATGATGTGCTTCTGTATTGATGTACCTTTGTCCAGTTTTTGTAATAATACTCATTCATCACACTTTCAGGATATGATCTCAGCCCTGAAGGGGGCGCTGTCTGGCTCTCTGGAAACGGTCATCCTGGGCCTCATGAAGAGCACTGCTCAGTATGATGCCTCCGAAATCAAAGCCTCCATCAAGGTGAACTGAACATCAATGACTTTTAATCCATTTGTTTTTTATGCATAGATAAAATGGGAGTGAAATCTAGATGGTCAAGGTTCTCAAAAGCATAATCCGTGCGTGTTTGCAGGGTCTGGGAACAGATGAAGAGTCTCTGATTGATATCGTCTGCTCTCGAAGCAATGCTGAGCTCACGGAGATTAGGAAGGTCTACAAGGAATGTGAGTATGAGAGTATTTAAGTGCGCTCATTAGGAGCATGAGGTTGTGATATAAACCTGTGTGTCTCATCGCAGTGTTCAAGAAGGACCTGGAGAAGGATGTGGCTGGAGATACTTCAGGAGACTTCGCTAAACTCCTGCTGGCTCTGGTTGAGGTGGGGTACACTTTTTGTGTGCTTTAACTGATATGCGTCTGAATTAAGATCCCGAGGATTTGGGTTTAATGTAGTATTTGTAACTTCTCAAACCATGATGGACACACGACCATGTTCCACATCAGGCCAAGAGAGCCGAGCCCAGCTCCGTCATTGACTACCAGAAAATCGATGAAGATGCCAGAGTAAGTTCTTGTGGTTTATCTCTCAGCATTTAATTGAAACATTAATAACTGAATTTAACATTTTAGAAATCACGCATTTTTTAGAGCAACAGTGTTTAACTTCAGTTAATGTTTTTAAAACTTCAGTTAAATATTAAACTTAATTATATATTAAATTACTATATATATATTCATTAATTTCTATATAATATATGACATAAATTCTAAATTTCATTTATATTATTTATTTACTTTTTAAAATAAAAAAATACACACACATTATAAAATTATTATAAATCGTATTTATACACTATTTACATTTACTTAAGTAAACTTTCTTAAAAGCTAAAATATTTATATACATTTATGTGCAATATTTATAGGTTATAACAATAACGTATTATTTATATGCTCTTTATTTGCATTAAGTATATATTAAACTTTAAAAAATATATTTATATACATTTATTCATGTACAATATATATATATATAAATAATATATACTATTAATTTGCATTTTTACGTAAATATTAAAGATTAAAAAATAAATATATACATTTAATCATAATATATAAATTATAATTTATATACTATTAATTTACATTTAAATTAAATATTAGTTAAATATTACACTTTTTTAAAAATGTAAATATTTGCAATATATACATTATTTATATACTATTATTTTTTATTTATTGTAAGTAAATGTTAAACTAAAAAATAAATATGTACATTTAATCATTTATAATATATAAATTATAATTCATATACTATTAATTTACATTTAAATTAAATATTAAACTTTTTTAAAATGTAAATATTTGCAATATATACATTATATACTATTTTTTTTTACATTTATTGTAAGTAAATATTAAACTTTTTTTTTTATTTTTATAAAATATATACATTTATTGATATATAATAAATTAAGTAAGAAATAATAGGAAATAACTGATAATACAAATTACTTATTCATAGAAAAATGTTATTTATATACCATTTATTTACAATATTTAAAATCTTCTGTGCAGGCCCTTTATGATGCTGGAGTCAAACGAAAAGGCACTGATGTGAAGTGCTGGATCTCCATCATGTCTGAGAGAAGCGTTCCTCACCTCCAGAAAGGTTTGTGAGCCTTGTAACCCTTCCTTCCATCTGATAGGATAATGGCACACATACAATTCATGTGATTTTGTGTTTTCTTTTACAGTGTTTGAACGATACAAGAGCTACAGCCCTTATGACATGCAGGAGAGCATCCGCAAAGAGGTGAAGGGAGATCTGGAGAAGTCCTTCCTTACCTTGGGTGAGACTTGTCTTTGAAGACCCCATGAAACTCAACCTTCCTTCCAGTGTTCATGC